GTTCTACTTTGGTCTACTGAGTTCCTTTGCACCAAGCCTCGTCTGGATGCTGCTTCTCCGCGGTCTCGTCGGATTTGGTGTAGGGGGCGCTCCTCAGTCGTAAGTATAACGATGCGCAGAGATTCCATCGCGTTAGTCGGAGCACGCGAGCAAGACTCGTCGCGATGTTACAATTGGTCGATCTTACGATCAGACGATTTTACTCTCATTTTCTTACTATTGATGACTTATAATTGAGATTAAGCTATCGTTGTGGTGTGCGATGGAGACTTTGTGCATATAGTACCCCGTGTGAGAACGTGCAGGAGAATAGTGTAGAGGTGGGAAGTTTATCTCGTGCGTTCTGGAACGGCGAGTGTCTTTTACTGACACGAGTGTGGCCATCGTTTCTGTTACAGGGTGACGCTGTATGCAGAATTTCTGCCGTCAGAGACGCGAGCCAAGTGTGTCGTCGCAGTGGAGGTCAGTGGATTGTTACACATGCCAAACTACATGCACCCACCCTCATGCAGGACCAATGATAACTGCTACTCTTTAAAACCTTAAAATCTGTTAACGCTCAACCCTGCTTCGTGACGAACGATGTCGAGAAGTAATACAATGTTCATATTTCGACTTTAAGCACAATTACATCTTAGTAATACTCTGCTCGCCGTATCCGCATCGAATTAATCTTGCATTTAATAACAGCCCATGACAAAACTAGAACGAATATGCCGAAACACGAGTTGGGTTGGAGACTGGTCTAACAACACGGTATCATGCTAGTGTTGAGTGGCAGTGCGAGCGTGAGTGTATGCATTCTTGCAGGTGTTCTGGGTGATAGGCACTTGCTTCGAGGTGCTGCTGGCTCTGTTTGTGATGCCGACGATGGGTTGGCGCTGGTTGCTCATCTTCTCTGCGGTGCCACTGGCCATCTTCTCTCTCACGTGTGTGGTAAGTAGTAGTAGCTAGCAGTAGCTAGTAGTAAGTAGTAGTTAGCAGTAAGTAGTAAGTAGTAAGTAGTAGTAGTAGCAGGTTAGCAGTGAATGCAGCACGAGATGCAGCCAGAGAAGCAATGCTGACAATAACCTCACTAGTAGCTGCGTGTAGCTGTCTCTCCCCTTATCTCTCTTGCTCTCTCTTGCTGTCTCTCTCTCTCTCTCTCATCTCTCTCTTCCTCTCTCTCTCTCTCTCTCTCTCTCTCTCTCTCTCTC